CAACAAATAGTACAGGTTAAAAGCATGATACTTCTGTTATGTGAATGATACCTTAATTTAAAAACTAACCAGAATTCATCAGTTACTAATTATTTTGATATATATATTTTACTATTTGCTCTTGGCATTATGTCTATTGTATCTTTTTGATGGAAATACTAAAAGTATATTACTGTGCATCTTTTAACTCTATTTGAAGACATGAAGTTAATAGCTTGAAATCATTAATAGTTGGGGAGAAAATTGTGGAGAGGTTCATATTTGCCCCACAAAAATTGTCACATACTACAAATCAAGGCTACTACTGACACTACCAAAAAGCCAGGTTTTAAACTTTTACCAGCCCATCACTGGCTGTATGGGTCCAACAGTCATCTTGGATAACTGGTGAAATTAGTTAGATAATCGCCTGTGGCATTTAGATCCCCAGCGAAACAAAGACTAACAAATCTGCATGGCAGCTCTGCCTGCACTTGGTGCAGAAGAAAGGCATTTCTGGTCCACTGTGCTATGAAACCCGGCTTGAGTCAGGGAACATGATTCCTCTGGCCCCTGCTAGTATTGTGTGTGGTGTGTACAAGTGACAGCGCCCTGTTGCATTGTCTGAACAAAGCCAGATACCAGATAAACCACAAATGATTTTAATTCTTAGTCCCAGACAGGAGGTTATCTGGGGAATCTGTACAGCAGATTTGGAAATGAAGGGTTAAAGAGTGAGACTTCAAAGAATTACCTCCAGCTGCTCAGCCCCTCCTATCAGGCCAGTCTCTCTGAGTTTCAGCGCTTCAACTGCTTACAGGTACCCTCTCAGATACTGGTGTGGATGATCCAGAGTTCTGGATGCCCCAGGGTCCACAGGTCTTGTCATCCTTTAAGGGTTGGTTCCTTGATCCTCAAACGTTTACTGAACATCTATTTTGTGCCTGGCACCATGCTTGGAGGTTCTGGGGATACAAAAAAAAAAAATGAGGAAAACGCAGTCCAGCCTTCAGGGAACTCCCAGTTCTTTGACAAGTAAACAGGAACTTATACAGTGTGATAACCCAGTTTATACAGGTGCAGTGTGACCCTTAAGAATGAACAACTGTTTTGGGTGTTGGATACATGAATTTTAGGGAAAGGGGTCTTGAGATAATCTGTTCAAGGCCTAATTCAAGGTAGAAGGACTCTGAAGGAGGTAAGGGGTCATCTTGCAAAGTAGGGTTTGGAGTTCTAAGGCACTTTCCCAGGGACCTTGACAGCCTTTGTTCTTCCAAGAATATGGTACCTGATTTTGCAGCCTGATCTGGGTGGGGGGAGTGTGATGTCACCACCATGGCAGCAGAGATGTTCCAGGAACCTAACTGCCCTAAAACAATTAGCACAGGTTCTTATTCTTTACAAAGGAGAAATTGGGGAACGATTTGCGCAAACTTTTCTCTTTTAAGAAAGCTTACTTCCAGAATGTCTCCCATTGGGTGTAACAGGGAGGAAACCCAGTTAGGTCTTCAACCACACTCCAAGCTCACTTCCAGATCTCAGTCCTACCCAAATGCTGAAAGGTGATTTGAGTAGGTCAGATTATTGTGTTGGAGGGAAGCAAGTGGGCTCAAAGAACCTGGGTGTTAAAGAGGCTCCCACCTCAACATGCCTGAGAAACAAGTGTCCTGAAAGTCACCAGCTGAGGTGGCCCAGCTGGTCATACTGACCTTGACAAGCAGCAAGCAGAAATTAACCTGTCAACTAAACTGAAAGGGAGAAAAGGCAGAAGGGTTAGGACACAAACATCTATTCCCACCCCCAGTCCGATCACTGACGTCAGGCTTGGCGTGGGCGGTATTAATCACCCGGTCTGGTGTGCAGTTGAGGACATTTCTTCCAGCCCGCTCCTGGGAGCGTTCCACCAGCCATGCACCTGCCACCGGCCACAAAGCCTCAACTCCCAGACAGGCACGGATGCAGGCTGTCGCTGACGACACTCAAAAAGTCAGAGTGCGCCCTTTAGAACTCAGGCTCGGGGTGGGGGGGCGGGAGCAAAACGTGGTGCGCTGGCTTCCTCCCAGGTGTGCGTTTCTCTAATCTCTGCAGCGCCCCTCCAGAGAAACCCTCCTCATAAGACGGGCCATTTCCTGGGGATTTAATGAATGCAGAATTAACGGCGCTCCTTGCAGCGGGCCATTAATTCCCCCAGGAAATACCTGTGGTCTTTAATCAAAATTGCCTAAATTATAGACTAGTGATGCACGTCCTCTCGGGGGAAGGGGGTACTGTCGTCCCAACTGGTTCCAATAGATGGCGCCGATCTTCATCTAAATAAATCATTCCGATAATTTGTTTTCCATTCCTCCCCAGTGAAAACCAAGGAGCATTTAAAAAAAGCAACAACAACAAAGGCAAGGAATGGAGAGGACTTAGCAAAGGCCCGGACAGGAACGTCCTGTGCGAAGGCTGTTTCTAGACCGGGCTCCTACCTCAGGCCCAGAAGACAGAGCTACATGGGGGTGCAGCCAGGGACCTCAGCAGCAGTCCCTCCACCGGTGAGCGGCCCTAGCTAAGCACCGGCAACTGAGTAAGGAAAAGGTTGGGGAGGTGGGGGAGCACCAAGAAGAGCCCCTTCATCTGACTTGTGGGGGAGGAGGGGTACGTTCAGAGAAGACTTCTGAAGCTGATACTCTGTTGTATTTCAAGGCCCTCCTGTCATTGGCCTCGAAATGTTTCCACATGAAATTGTAAATAAAATATGGGCGGATGGCATCTTTAGTTAAACAAAATAAGACCCTCAAGAGTTTCTGGCCAAGTGTAGCCCAACTCCCAACTAATGGTTGCTGAACAGCCTCCCAGTCTGTCTTGAATTCTATAATTATAAAAAGATATGTAACAGAAGACTACTCTTCTAAGGAAAGATAAGGCCTCCTGTGTGTATGCCTGACTTGCATCATAAACCTCAGCTGCAAACAAGGCATGCAGATTTCTCAGACTCTGCAATCCTTGAGACTTGGCACCATGACTCAGATGTGAATGAAGTCAGAGGATTGCTTTATTTTGGTCAGGAGTCACCGCCTCCTGACTGATTTGACAGGCTCTGCGTAGTTTGATATTTATGTCACGGGTTTTATAGAAGGTACTTAAAGCCAGAGGTTAAAATGGCCATCATTTGGTGGTAGCCCTTACCTGCGTCTTAAATATCCCTCTGTTGAAAGGCTAAAAGGCCCTGGCCCCCGAGATGGCCTGACTGCCTTGGTTTTACATACGATCCAGCAGCACACCGGATAGTGAAGAAAATCAGTGAAAATTGGGTCCAGGGTTGCTGATTGCTAAACCTTCCCAGGTGCTTAGAAGAGCTAAGCATAAAGTATAGAAGTAGCTTTTACAAACTGAAATGGCTGAGTTTTCCGCAACCCAGCAAAGATCTGTAAAATCAGAAGTATGTCCAACAGCTTGCAAGAGCTAGCTTTGCTGCACAGAGATAGGGCAATGAGCAAAGTAGCCTTAGTCTCATGTCTTCAGGGAGTGCAAGATGCCACCGGTTCTACTCCAGTGCCCGCAGCAGTTCCCTATTGATATAACGGGTTACTATCCACTCTTCAAAGAAATTGGATCGGGGGGTGGAGAGCCTAACCTTTTAACGCTGCTTGTAAAAGTACTTTGTGAGTTGAAAAGAGCCTTTAACCAAAGGTTTCCGGTTTTGCTGAGTTTTTTTCCTCCCATTCCTTCCCAACAAAATGCTGGACTCTTCAGGTATGTGCCACTGCGTTCTCCATCTGTTAAACCTTTCCACAACGCAGTAAGAGGCATCTGCATCATATGAGTCCGAGATTTCTCCTAACCTTTGTCAATAAGTTGGAGGGCTGAAGAATTTTGACCCCAGTTTCTTACTCTACACCATCTTGCCTTCCAATTCACTATGAAATAGTATTTTTGACCCATTTTTGCCTCCTTGATTCTACAGATCATAAGAATTTTCTTCTACTAAATTGCTTTTCCCAGAGGCAGTGTGGGAGCCAGCGGAACTTTATTTTCTGATAATAGTGTGTTAGTCGCTCAGTCGTATCCGACTCTTTGCAAACCCATGGACTGTAGCCTGCCAGGCTCCTCTGTCCATGAAATTCTCCAGCCAAGAATACTGGAGTGGGGTTGCCAGTTCCTGCTCCATTCTGATAATAAGAGGACCCTAAATTAATGCGGACATGAAAGCAATTCTCCACTTTAAATAGATGAGCAGTACCACTCCCAACCCCGACCCATCCCTCGAATGATAAACTTGACTGCACTGCCAGGGCTTTGGGCCCTTAGGCTATCTGTGAAATGGGAATAACACACCCCACTCAGTTTGGAGATCTTTCACGAAGATCATATAAGCAAGGAACGTACGCCCAGCCCAGCACGTAGTAATCTGGTCTGTTTTTTTCTTTTCCTTCTCCCACCAAGGGGGTGAGAGAGTTAATGAAACTCTTGGAAAGCGGATCACTCATTTCAGCCAGAACCTGACCCACTGAAACCTGAAACGCAGGGAGAATGGACAGGACAGGGGAGCAGCCCTCGGGCCCCTGGCTGACGACCCTCTGCGAAAGGTCGCTTCACCATCGAGGGCGCGCAGTTCCTGCCCATCACCCCACGCCCACCAAGGGCGCGGCCGCCTGCCCCGCTGACTCCAGGAGGCTTCGGAAAAAAGACCCCGGGGGGCGCGGCCAGCCGCGGGCGCCCCCGAGAGCCTTGGGCCCAGGGCGCGAGGCGGTGTCCGCGTCTCCGCAGGCGGCCCGCCCGGGGGCGCGGCGGGCTGTGGGCGTGGCGAGCGCGCGCCGCCCTTCCTGCCGGGGCGCCCCCGCCGCGGCCGGGCCGGGAGAACGCGCGGGCGCGCGCGAGGCAGCCGGGCCGCGCCGCCTCGTCCTCGCCCTCGCCCCGCGGCCGCCGGCCGCCCCAGCCCCTCCCCTTCGCCGCGAGCCGCGCACCGCCGGCCGGCTGAGCCAGCGGCCCGCGCCCTCGTCCGCCGACCCCGCGGCGGGCTCCGGGCGGCCGGCAGCATGAGCGGCGGCGGCGGCGGCGACGTGGTGTGCACCGGCTGGCTGAGGAAATCGCCTCCCGAGAAGAAGTTGAGGCGCTATGTGAGTGCGGGTGGGGGCGAGGGGCGCTCCGCGGCCTGCCGACGGGCCGGGCGCCCCGGGAGGGTCCGCGGGGGCGCGGGCGGGGGCGCCGGGAGCGACCGGAGCGCCCCGCGACCCGGGGCTGCAGCACACCTGTCACAGGTGCGCCGCCGAGGGGCGGGGCGGGCGGCCGGCCAGGTGGAGGCTGCGGCGCCTCCCCGGCCAGCCTCGTAAACTAAACCCAGTATTGAAGTTTGTATTGATTGTTTTCGGAGACCGAGAAGAGTTGATTCCCGAGGCCGGGGGGTCCGTACTGACCCCGAGCGGCTCCAGCCTGCGGGGTTCGGGGAGTGGGCGGGAAAGCGGGGGGCGTAGGCTGTGGGGCCGCGCGGCCGGGCCCCCCACAAAGGGCGACGCGCCTCCCACCCTTTCCCCCAGCGCTTTCCCTGCCTGCCCCTCCCGGTGGCCGCCTGCTTCCTTCCAGTCCACAGCCGCTGCATCACGGGCAGCGTCAGCAGCATGTGCAGCCCTTGTATTAAGTGACTCATTTGTTTGTCCCCCTTCTTTGCCTTTATGCTGTATGTCTCTCACATGCATCCCCCCACCCCACGAAGGTGACACTGCAGTTTGGTCTGCTACGACTGGCCCGGCTTTTGTGTTGTGCAGCCCTTGGCGTCTGGGGTCAGGAGAAATCAAGGGTCTCAGTTGCCAGGTGGTGCTAACCGACAGTGTTTACTGAAATTACCGGGACAGCCGCTCCCTTTTGAGTGAGAGGCTCCACATCCCGGGGAGGGTCGTGCAGCCTGGTTTGAGCAGTGAGGGGTCTCGTCCCACCCCCTCCGCCCCCACCAGAGGATGCCTAGCTTAGGTGGGGTCAAAGTACAAGATGGTGCCAGTGACTGAGATTTGGCTGAAATCAGCCCTGGGTTATTCGACTGAGTTTGGAAATAGAAGCAAGGTCGCTAAAAGATGTCCGGGTCTCCCATCCTCTCCTCTTCCCTTGCTGTGAAATGCCCTTGTCAAACTGCCTGTCCGTGCTGGACTCTGGGATCGTTCCCACAGCATGGAAGTGAGCTCTTGCCTTCCAGCTGCAGTGCATCAAGGGAGCTCTGAATAGACCCTGCCCGCTGTCAGCTGCACCCGTGGCTGTCCACAGGGGGAGAGGCAAAAGCTTACCAGAGTTTCCTGTCTTGGCTCCCCAGATCAGAACCGAGGGACTTCTGGCCTCTGGATTGAGGAAGTGACATTCTGTTTTTCAAAGGAAGTGTTGTTGGGGAGTGCAAGTGAGTGTGTATGTAAATGAAATCAGGCTCTTATTTAGATCATCTGCTGGGGAAAAAAAGACTAAGGAATTAGCACATGACTTTCAAAAGTGGACACAGATTTTAAATATAGTAGGGATGAGACAATAAAGTGTTCATCTCAGTTTTAAAGCTCATTTTCAGAGATGTCCATGTAGCCAAAGAACTGTAACTGTGAAGAAAAGCTTTTCTCCTCTTGAGGGCCATATCAGTTCACTAGCAAAGGTGCATTTTTATATTAGGTAAGAAGAGTAAGTTGCTATTAATCTTTTCATGAGTATAAAACAAAAAAATATCTTCGGCCCCAAGACCTTCAGAAGACTATCAATCAAAGTGTAATACCTTACCTTACCAGCTAGTGGAATAAAGTATCCAGTAAAAATGAGACTTAATTGTCAAGTTAGAACACTGCCCTAAACAACCTTGAAACTTTGTTTTTGAAACAGTTTGCAATTTGACACTTTATCTACATTGACTGATAACTACTTCAACTCTCTCACCCAGACTCTCCTTGTGATCCATTTCTTGGGTATTTTTGTTTCCAAGCAACTTTAGCTCAAATTAACCGGGTTCAGAGGCTTTGGGGTCAAGCACCTTTCCCCCTCATTTGAAGTGCTTGACAGCCTCAAGTCATAAGATGACTTCAGCCTTTTCGTTATCTCCCTCATACTGGAGACCATAAGGCCAAACTGGTAACAGGTTTTCTTAGGCTAGCGTGTGATGTGTTCCATTGGTATGACTGGAAGTCTCCCCTGCTGTGGATATTCACTTGTCTTAGTTGAAGCTGAGCTGGTTTGTTTAACCCTAAACTCCTGGGGAACAGTTTTCCTTTTCATCTTCTTTTCTTTGGGGGTTTTGAGAATTTCTGTTTTAAGTTAGAACTTTGCCAGCTCCCTCTGTTCATTAGAGGCCCAGGTTCACTAGAACCAAAGTAGGAAATTTTCTAGCCCCATAACTAAACACCCCCCCCCCAAACTGTTGCTTATTCTGTTATAAATGTTAGCCATGTGATATTATATAGATTGAGAAATCTTTATTATAAGAATGTGTTAGTAATCTGAAACAAAGCAAAAAGAAGTTTATGAAATAGATTACACCATTTAAAATTATTTTTTAATCTACTTTTTATTTAATTTGGGTTGGTGGTAGGTATAGGAGTTAAAAAAAAAATCAACTTGAAGCTATGGAACATGTATGTTAGTTACCAAGATTAACTTTAGGGATTCCTTCATTAACGTCTTGTCTAAGTTATCACTTGTAAGAACATGTAAAGGGTCTGTTCATTATTTGCTGTGTGCCCTCGAGGAATTACCAAAAAAGTGACCTCTGGGAAATGGTGGGTATTGCCTCTGGGGTGACAGTATGGTTGCAGTGAGAGGCTGGCAGAAGGGACTGCTCTCCCATCATTCCACAGTCTACATGTGTCTGTGTGTGCATGACCGTGTGAACACACACATATGCATGGATGTAAAGTTGAAACCATATCTTTTTGAAGAAAAAAAAAAACATGTTGACACATACTGCCCGGTTATTTTCTGTTTTCACTGGGTTAAAAGATTAAGGGAAAAGCTAGGCAGCAGCACTGCCCCCTAGTGGCTGGCTTGGAGAAAATTGTGCATTAATTCTAAAGAACAACTGAGTTAAGAAAACTCTTGTTTGTTCAGTAAACTCATTTATTAAAAGATCTGTGTCCCAGAAACTGGATTAGATTCTGGGAATAGAAGTTAATCCATCCCTTCAGTCTTAGCGGACAACCTTGCCTTCCCCTTCACAAAGAAAACCGAAGCTTTTAAGGAGTACCTGTCTACACATACTGCAACCACATTTCCAAATTTATCTCTACTGTCCCATACCCACCACATCCGTAACCTGTGATTTCTTCTCCATGTTAATGTTTCAAGAGTTTTATATAAGTGGATTCACACAGTATAACTGTGGAGGATTGGTTTTTTCCTTCAGCATAATTCACTGGAGATTCATCCACATTGTTGCACATATCACTAGTTAGTCCATTCTTTTTCGTTGCTGAGTAATATTCCATGGCATGGATGTAAAACAGTTCATTTGTTTAACCACTTACCCATTGGTTACAGTCTCTAACGGCCAGTGTTGTTGAATATCTTTTCATAGGTTTATTTGCCACCTGTATATACTCTTTGGTCAAATGCCTCTCCAACTCTTTTGTCTGTTATCTATTTGGATTCTTTGTTTTTTACTGTGGAGTTAAAAAAATTTTTTTTACATATGTTTAAAACTATTTATTTACTTCTGGCTGTGCTGAGTCTGTTGGTGCATGAGCTTTTCTCTGTTGCAGCAGCAGAGGCTGCTCTTCATTATAGCTCGTGGGCTTCTCGTTGTGGTGGCTTCTCCTGCTGCGGAGCGCGGGCTCTAGAGCACGCGGGCTTCAGTAGTTGTGGCTCAGTTGTCCTGAGGCTCGTGGGGTCAAACCTGTGTCTCCTGAATTGGCAAATGGGTTCTTTACCACTGAGGCACTGGGGAAGCTCTACTGTTGAGTTTTGGGAGTTCTGTATATGCCCAAGCTATCAGTTCTTGTCAGTACATGGTTTGCAAATATTTTCTCCCACTCTGAAGCTTGTCTTTTCATCTACCAAACAGGGTGAAGAGGAGAAGTTTTTTATTTGGATGAAGCCCTTTTTACCAATTTTTCTTTTCTTTTCTTTTTTTTTTAACAAGGCTGGCACCAGAGTTCTAGGACTTTTAATTTGTCCCAAAATTGGTGAAGCAAAAATCATGATAAAACATTTTGCTTTCCTTTACACCCCCCAATGCAAAAAAAAAAAAAAACAACTCCGTAGGAAAAAAGTGGTTTTGTACATTTTAGAAGAAACAATATAAATTCAAAACTTACAGATAAGGGTTAGCTCTATCACTCATCTCTTTAAAAAGTTTATATGAATATCCAGTCAACACCAACAGGGTTATCTCCCTTGAAATGTTACTTATACGGATTTCCAAGTAGACCACAGGGCTGTATACTGTCTTGGAATGTCCTCAGAAGGCTCTGTCATTGATCAGGTAACAGAGTAAAAACCCCCGAGTCCTTTCTTTCAAATGGAAGCGGGAGAGACAGGAATAGAAGAAACTATTCAAACTTCGTCTTCTTTCCTTGTGGCTTGTGGTCTCCTCCTCCTCCTCTGCCTCCTCGGAAGCCCCCTCGCCCTCCAAAGCCTCCCCGGCCTCTGCCACCAAATCCACCTCGGCCACCTCTGCCACCGCCTCGGCCTCCAAAGCCACCTCTGCCTCCTCCTCGACCACCAAAGCCACCTTCACCCTTAGGTTTGGCCCAGTCTAAAGTGACTTTGTTTCCATCGATTTCACCATCTTCCATGGCCTCCTTGGCAGCTTTGGCATCTTCCTCACTATTGAAGTCTACAAAACCAAACCCTTTGGAGGATCCAGTCTCCCGGTCAGTGACTATCCTTGCTCGAATAGAGCCATCAAACGACTCTTTTAACGTCTCTTCTGTGGTATCCTCAGAGAGACCTTTGACAAACAGAGTTTTGGGTGGCTGGCTTCTTGCATTAGGTGATCCCCTGGGTCCTTGCAACTCCAGTCTGATGGCTCTGCCCTCAATTTCCCTTTTATTACATGAATTTAAAGCTTCTTTAGCATTTTCAAATGAAGCAAATTCTATAAATGCATACCCTTTCGATTTGCCATTTTGGTTCTGGGGCACCTTGATATGAGTTGCCTTCTCAA